GTTTCTTCCTGTTAAAAGGGAGTTTTTCCTTCCCACTGTCGCCAAAGTGCTTGCTCATAGGGGCCATATGATTGTTGGGTTTTTACAGTATATATTATTGTAGGGTTTACCTTACAATATAAAGTGCCTTGTGGTGACGGTTGTTGTGATTTGGCACTATATAAATGAAAAGGATTTGAAATGAGTGAGTTCGTTTTTTCTAATTTGAATTGAATTTAGGTGAATTTTCAGGTTTTGAACCCTTCTGCTGGGTGACTCACACTGAGGTGGAAGCCTGCTACTGGTAGGAAAAAAAAGACAAACAATGGATCAAACCTTTGACTTGGAGCAGCAGAGTTTTTGATCCGAGGATCTTTCCACCGCTCCAAACTCTACAGATGAAGGTTCCACTGTCCCTGTCTGTGGGGTATTTCAGGGTCAGACTGAGGTCTCCAGTTTTCAGCAGGTCTTCGTTTGTCTTTGTTCGGCCTCTGTAAAACTGGTCCTGTTGTTCGGGCTGGTAAGAACCATCCTCATACACGTGAACCGTTCTGGAGCTCTCATCTTTCCACTCCACTTTAGTGTCTTCAGGCAGGTTTTCTGTGGTTTTGAAGGGCATACAGAAAGACACCACCCCTGAATTCACCTCCAACTGACAGTCTGAGAGGAAAACAAATACAAAATTAGAAATAATGATTAGATGAGAGATGATGTCTTGAATATAGATGCCTAATAAAGCAGTTATTAGCACAGAGTTGATGATGACTATAATATATTTCTTAATCATTTTGTATAAGGTCATGGACTTATGATCAAAGTTATCCTTAGATTTTCTCTCTTATGAAGGGTCAGTGCTCTGCTTTATTTACCTCACTCTCTCCAATTACACTAAATGATTTGGTTAGTACAGTGCTCATGATCCAAATTTCATCACCCTCGTTAGAGCTCTTAACTCCCTCTGTTTCACTTGGATCTCTTACAAGCATTGGTCCACCATTACTGTCTATCGTTAAAAGTTCACTGAGGCAAAGTTGTGTCCGGTCTTAGCATCTTGAGGTAATTGTCATGGTCCAGGTGAGTGCTGGGTTCTTCCTCAGTGCCGACGTTTCTACCCCTGGGCAGAGCCACCTCATCAACGCTGACAGGCTGTAACTGTATGTAATTTGAACTGCCGGCTTCTTAAGACCAACGCTCGCAATCACACTTCGCCAGATAGTCTGCAAACATGCAAAATCACTGAATACTGCTAAGTCAGTGCCCTAACCTGCCTAAAGACATTGTTGGTCAGCCCGCAGTTTCTCTCACATGCTCACCTGGCATCCCCACCCAGCATTCTGAATCTCACGGATTTCATCATCGGATCACATGTCCTCTCACCCGCACCCTCTTTTCCTCTACTAAGCTACACCTCCGCCTGCTAAGACTATGTTTCATTCACTATGTTCACCTTGAAATGGCATCCGAGTTTACTAGCTAACTCCTGTTTCCCTCGTTTACAGTGACTACTCCAATTTAACAGTGTTTCCTGAAAACCCTCTCCTGTCTGATCATTTTCTGATAACATTTACATTTACAATAATTGATTACACAGCAGTGGGGAGTAGAGTTTATTACAGTAGATGTCTTTCTGAAAGTGCTGTAACTAAGTTTAAGAATATAATCTACCCACTGTTATCATCTTCAATGCCCTGTACCAACATAGAGCAGAGCAGCTACCTGAACGCTACTCCAACAGAGGTTGATTATCTTGTTAATAATTTTACCTCCTCACTACGTACGACTCTGGATACTGTAGCTCCTGTGAAAACGAAGGCCTCAAATCAGAAGTACCTGACTCCGTGGTATAATTCTCAAACACGTAGCCAAATGCAGATACCTCGAAGGCTGGAGAGAAAATAGCGTGTCACAAATTTAGAGGATCATCATTTTGCCTGGAGAAATAGTTTGTTGCTTTATAAGAAAGCCCTCCGCAAAGCCAGAACATCATACTATCCGTCACTGATCGAAGAAAATAAGAACGACCCCAGGTTTCTCTTCAGCACTGTAGCCAGGCTGACAAAAAGTCAGAGCTCTATTGAAGCCAACCATCCCTTTAACTAGTAACAACTTCATGAACTTCTTCACAAATACAATTTTTATCATTAGAGAAAAAATTACCAACAATCATTACACAGATGTAATATTATCTACAGCTACTTTCAGTACCATTGATATTCATTTAGACTCTTTTTCTTCAATTGATCTTTCTGAGTTAACTTCAATAATTACTTCCTCCAAACCATCAACGTGTCTTTTAGACCCCATTCCTACAAAACTGCTCAAAGAAGTCCTGCCATTAATTAATTCTTCAATCTTAAATATGATCAACCTATCTCTAATAATCAGCTATGTACCACAGGCCTTCAAGCTGGCTGTAGTTAAACCTTTACTCAAAAAGCCAATCTCCAACCTTCCTTTCATATCAAAAATCCTTGAAAGAGTAGTTGTCAAACAGCTAACAGATCATCTGCAGAGGAATCAATCAATCAATCAATCAATCAAGGCTTTATTCGCCACGTGCAGGTTACCCTGCAGTGAAATAGGACACCCCCCGACCTTACACACACAACACAGACATCACATGGGGATACAGGTAGCATTACAGAAAAACACTGAAATGTACACTACAATGGGAAAGTACAAGAGGAAAAAAAGAGACCTCTACTCATGCTGGGCTCCTATGGGAGGACAGCAAGTAGTGAGTGTATATCAGTGTGTGTATATCAGTGTGTGTGTGTGTGTGTGTGTGTGTGTGTGCGTGTCCATAGTTCAGCTGAGACAGTGTCCTTCGCCCTGCCAGGATAAGTAAACAGTCTTCCAGTCAACCCAGGTGGCCTTGCATAGAATCGGAAGAACAGTCTAAACACAGCCGTTATCAGGGTGTTTTTTTTTCTTCAGCTCCAGCCTTGAGCCCGCAGCTGGCGCCGAAGGGATAGCCGCATTATGATGGTGGTTTTTTCCTTTAGTGCGAACAACTCATGAGAATTTCAAAGCTGTTCTTAGCAGTCCGACACTGGTCTCTCAATCTCCCGTTGGAGAGCCGCGAGCTTCTTCATGATGTTATCAAACTTACGCTCCGTGGTCTTATCATTCTTGTGCTCAATGAGCAGATTCTGAGAACTCACGTCGCAGTGAGCTTCTCCAAGATGTGATCCAATTTGCGCTCAGAGATGTTATTCTGAGTGAACTTCTCCATGATGTAATCCAATTTGCACTCAGAGGTCTTATTCTGAGTGTTCACGGCAGCCTCAAGCTTCTCCAAGATCTTATCCATGCTGCACTAAATGAGCTCATTCTGAGAACTCACGCCTCGTCCCATCGTTTCAATCCCAGCGGGCAGCCTTGTGGGGATTTGAACAGCCGGTTCCGCTTTCTTAATAAGCCAGGGCCAAGCCAGCTCTGATCAGCAAGAACCCTGTTATCATGGTTCCGAATAGGTAGATATCTTCAGCGTCTTCGATCGACAGTCCTGCCAGGCACACGATTCTCCATTTCTGCCACCCCTCCATCGTGTATCCAGCAGGGAAAGTAAAACCCGGACACTCAGGCTCACCCGAGCCCAGACATCTCGTTAAGAAAAGGGTGTCAATAGCATTCAGATCCCAGTTGATCAAATCCATAATTCTCTTTTAGGTTTTAGAGAACAGACTGTGAGAGAGTGTTCCAGGGAAAGTAATACAAAAAACATGAGACTAGACAAGGACATAAGAGGCTAAGCAGGGAAGATAAGGGAGAGGAGAAGAGGAGAAAAGTGCGCTATATAAATAAAACTAAATTGAATTGTTTCCCTCTGTGTGCCATTTAAGTTTATGGTTTATCTTTGAAGTGCTCCTCGCTTTTCTGTTTGCTCTGTGCACCTACACGAACTCAGTAAATAAAGTCTTTTGTTCTCAGATCAAGTGTTTCTGAGTGCTGTCCGCGGTTGAGTCTATTTCCTTCAATTGGCCTCCAGCTGTGACAGTAATTCCATTACTTAAAAAAGCCTAGTCTTGATGCCAGTTCTTTCAGCAAATGCCGGCCTATTTGAAATGACTATTTTGAGTGTTAGAAAAAATTGTTTTAAATCAATTCAGATCTTTATTATACACACTAGAGATTTCTGATCCTTTTTCAGTCTGGTTTTCAGAAGCAGTACTCCACTGAAACTGCTCTTTTGAAAGTCTTTAATGATATTTTAATGCAGGAAATTTCTCTGTACTCTGCTTGACCTCCGTGCTGCCTTTCATATTGTCGACCATAATATTTAATAGGCTTAAGAATCCGGCAGATATACACTCAAGAAACAGTCAAGTAATTTTTTCTTTTTGCTAATCATTGGTGTAGTATTTGTTTCCTCCTTGATCTTGGATGCAGATTTAAAATCGATCTCGCATTCCTGTTTCTTTCATTTAAAGAACATTTCTAAATCGCGAGCTATAGTCTCCTCCTCTGAAATGTAAATAATTGTTCATGTAGTTGTATCATGTCACTTTGATTACTGTAATGCCCTTTTTACAGGCATCTCTGTCACACCGCTAGGCAATGTAGAATGCTGCAGCCAGAGTCCTGACACACTCTAGGAAGCATGCTCACATTACCCATATTTTCTTATCTTTACATTGGCTCCCAGTTGATTTCAGATTTCTTTTTAAACTTCTCACTCTTACATACAGAGCACTAAATGGCCAAGGTCCAGACTATTTACAGAATCTTAACTTCTTGTCAAACACACCTCTGCTTGCACTCTTCCCTCAAAAGCTCAAAATCTATTAGTTGTCCCTCGTACAACACTGAAGACTAAAGCGCGACAGAGCTTTTCAGTCTGTGGCACAGACTATCATTTCTGAGGGGCTGCGTGGGTCCCAGTGATGTAAATGTCATCAGACGGTGAGCGCGAGAGACTATGCGGACCAGTGTTGGTCAAGTTACTTGAAAAAAGTAATCAGTAACTAATTAGTGATTACTTCCTCCCAAAATTAATCCTGTTACTTTACTGATTACTTATTTTTGAAAGTAATCAGTTACTTAGTTACTTAGTTACTTTTTAAAAATATGATTTACACCCTGAATAGGTAATGAAGTGATAGTTCTTCAATTGCTTCGATCCAAATTCTACTTTTTTTTTTGCATAATCCATCATATAAAATGTATTTCAATGAAAAAAGTCTATTTTCAAAACTTTGTTTATTATTACTTTTAATCTTTTAACGTTATGCATCAAGCAAAAATGAAATTATATGCAACATTCTCTGACTGGAAGAAATTTCTTTAACATTTAAACCTATTTTTCTGTACATTCAAGCACATAAAATAAAATAGGGTTAGAATAAAATAGAAAGTGAGATGCCAACTATCCCACTGAAAAGGATGAAAGAGACAGAGAGAAGACACATCCAGGGAGGAGAGATATGGAAGTAATATGTAGCAGCTGATGAAGATGGTCAGACAGACGGGCTTTATGGGACTTTATGATCTGTTCTTAAATTCAGTCCAATGTGGATCATTTCTGCTCAGAGTCCAATCATCTCTGGAAACTTGCCACTGTGCTTACAAGGATTTAACAATGAGCTGTGTCAAAGGAAAATTGTTTTTATATAATGTGATCAGCTTCATGAAATGTGCTTTTTTAGGATCACTAAGCAACCAAATGTCTACGTGACTTTTGACATGAACTCTTTTGTGATAAACAACTAACAGCTTCCTCTTTTTTAAGAACATGCAGACTTAGAAAAGGGGAACCTCAGCTCTGAGTTCTTAGAATAACTTTGTTACCTTTATACACACCACACACACACACACACACAGACACACACAGACACACAGACAAGTATAAATAAAGCACGCAGACAGTAATGAGACGCAGGTCTTGCGTCCATGACTGCCCTCGCGAGTAAAAGACAACTGCAGTGTTTGTGTTTTCTAACTCAGGTGTCTTAGCTGAAGAACTACGGGGTGATTTAAAGAAATCCCCTGTCAAGCTGTGACACAGGAAAACATGAGGTGGGAAACTCTGGAGAAGATTTTGTTTTCTCCACAGGGGAGGTTCGGACATCTGATCTGCTCACAATCACTCAACTCACTTCAACAACATGCTGACTCAGTCACTGATTTGGACTAAACTAACTAAACTATTGATGTGATCAAAACTTGAATTATGCCAGAGGTTTTTATTTTGAAGTTATTTATATTATTTGAATGGATTGAATATAGATTTAAACTAAAAGCTTTCAGAGAATAAACTCCTACATGACCTATAACCTTTGACCTGTATCTACAGCACTGACCTCTGACTTTCAGCTCCACTTGTTTCTTCAGCAGGATGTTTCCCTCCCTGCTGTAGACGGTGCAGGTGTAGGTGTCTATGTCATAGTCTGTGGGGTATTTTAGGGTCAGACTGAGGTCTCCAGTTTTCAGCAGGTCTTCATTCATCGTTGTTCTTTTTCTGTAAGCCTGGTGCTGTCCTTCAGGCTGGACAGAGCCCTTCTCATACATGTGGATCTTGGTATCATGTAAGCACTTCCACTCCACCTTAGCGTCTTCAGGTAGCTGAAGTGTGATTTTGCAGGGCAGCTGCACAGACGTCACCCCTGAATCCACCTCCACCTCCACCTGGGGGACTGAGAGGATAACAAAACACAACATGAGCTTGGGTGGAGACATTTGTGTTGACTCTAACAGGCTGAATGCTGCTGCTTCACTGGTAATTCAGTTCAATTCAGTTTTATTTATACAGCACCAAATCACAACAAGAGTCTCTTCAAGGTGCTTTATATTGTAAGGTATACATATGTCTTCTGATGGTGCTGCCTAAGTGAAGGATGTATAAAAAAGCAGAATTGGTCCTGAAATTGGCACTGAACCCTGTGGAACATAATTAACCTTAGGGTATGAAGAGGACTCTCCATTTATATGAGATAGATATGATACAAACCACTGCAGCGCAGTATCTGTAATACCTACAGCATGCTCGAATCATGCTAATAGAATATTATGGTCAACAGTATAAAATGCTGCACTGAGGTCTAGTAGGACAAGCACAGAGATGAGTCTACTGTCAAAGTCCATAAGAAGATTGTTTGCAACCTTCACTAAAGCTGTTTCTGTGCTGTGATGAGCTCTGAAACCTGACTGAAACTATACAATACAATTTTATTCATATAGCACGTTTAAAACCAGGGGGTACACCAAAGTGCTTCACAGTAAGGAATAACGGTAAATAAGTACACTTTTTTTTTTATGTGGTGGGTTTTATATGCGGTGGTTTTGAAAACGATTTGCTGGGAGTCCGGTGTTCTCTTTTTTTTTTCTTTTTTTTTGCCTGTCCAGTTTGGTTCTTTTGCCATCAGAATTATTGTCTAAAGGTGAAGAAAGATGCCCAACGAATTTACTTTACCAAATTGACCATCCCAACCTTGCCGTAATGGTCTATTTGATTCACCTTTTATTGTTTATTTTATTTATTTTATTTTCACTTGCTAGATATGGGACAGACTTGACTGAGGACAAGAAAAGGGAGAAAGAAAGGGAAAGAAAAACAGTGGAGAAGAGGGACAAGGATAAAGGGCAAAAAACAAAAACCAACAGAATAAGCAGACAAAAACAAATACATATATCAATCACCTGGATCACCTGTTGAGAAAGAGAAAAGAAAACAAGCAGAAGAAAATGAGAGCAATAGAATAAACAACATCACGATGATCTGGGAATATAACAGTAAATACTAAATGTTAAACATTAATGTGCAGCATGCAAGATCGACAGCGCACAGTGTGCTTTAAGGTAGGAGCCAAAAAGGGTGTAGTTTGTGTGTGTGAGCACCCGTTTGTACACCTGTGAGCATGGACACGGTTGTTTTTAAAAGGTTCCTTCATGTAATGATCTGCTAGAGGGTGTGGGGGGGGCCACAGCCCCATCCTCCAGGGCATGAAGCAGGTATGGAGGAGATCAAGACTCCAGACATCCAGAGGCCCCCAGAACACAAGAGACCAAGGGTGTGGGGAGCAATGTTCCCTCTAACTCCCTGAGCGGTCCCTTGGACCATTGTGATTGATATCAGACATGTGCACTGTGGTCACGCCAGCATCTAATCCATGCAAGTTACATGGTTTATTAAAAAAAATCTAATTACAGCATTTATGTTAGACTACTTTTAATTAACAGCTTTAGCCCACTAACAATGAAAATTTAAATAAATCTTGTTCCTGACCTGTGTAGTATGTTAACACTATTGGAAGTAAAAATAACTTGAACTCCAATTTTGAAAACACAACTTTCTTTCTTTTTAAAAAAAAGCTCTGACTTGTATTATGAGTCTGTGGTCTGGGAGAGAGTCTGTAACTTTCTGTGTGCCAAATACAGTAAATAATGACCAATGTTGGGCAATTAATTATATAGTTACTTCTTCAAAAAAGTAACTCAGTTTGGCAAACAACAAAGTTTTTTGAGGCTATTTATTTTTTTAATGCAGCCAAGGCGTTTTTTTAAACAAACCTTTCAAATTATTTACAGAACAATCAGCTGTTCTGCATCAAAT